GTGCAGCACAGCAGATAAATTTGTGAACTCTGCAGAAGTACGCTGCCTGAGGGAATTACCCAGGATGCACAGCACAGACTTGCCCTCTGACCCCCGTTATTGCGTGTAGCGTTATAAACTTGAGCAACCGCACATCAATCTACCAGCAGTCTGTCACGTCACATGACTCATGGTCTGTGATGGATGTGAGCATCCTGCTGATAAACCCAGAGTTTGATCCTGTAACAGCTGAAGATCAGTGTGATCGACGCGCTCGTGTGATCGACCCTCAGAAACAGCTCTGGTTTAACACAGTTAACACGTGAGTGATGTAACTGACCCGAGTCTGCTGACTGATTAACAGCTTCAGTCTGAGCTGACCCTGACCCCGCCCCCTCCACATGCTGTCCTTCAGCTCCGATACCGGAGTCTCCATCAACACCTGAACACGTCGCCGGACCTGCTGAACACACGACTGTGGACAAAGAAGACCTGATCAATCAGTCAATCAATCAGTCAATCAATCAGTCGATCAATCAGAAACAACCTGCTGAACCGCCTGATGCTTTTGGCGTCATTTTTCAAGTGCATTGTGGGTAATACAAGCAGAGGCAAAAGTGACGCTGCATCATTAGGCGGAGCCGCAGATGAAGCGATGACATCATCATGATTGGAGCGTGTGTCCACAGTGTAATCTCTAATCCCACTGAAAAACATACTGCCAACAAACAGCTGGGAACACACACGTTGGTCTTTGCAGACATGTGAGGACCATCTTGCCAACAATCACCAGTACAGACAGACAGACAGTTGCAGACAGATGTGTGGACTAGGAAACATGTTTATGTAGCAGTTTTGTATCCATCATGATGTCCTTACATGTAGAAATGTCCTAAAACCTGTCCTCAAGAAGAAATCTTTCAAGTCCTTAAAAATTAAAAATGTCCTCATAAACAAAAGTCCCTGGTGTGTTCAGATACAAAGGTCCGTGTTTCTCCAACATCTGTACGGCTCTTAAACACTGATCTCTGTGCTTTTGTTTTACAGGAAAGTGTCCAAGAATCTAAAAATGTCCTCAACTTATAAAGATGTCCTCACTTTGTAAAAATAAACTATTTAAAACACTTCACTTATTCTCAAACTCGCTGGATTCCTGTGTGAGGCAGGAATACAATCTGATACAATCTGGATGTTAAGTGGTGTGTTGTGAGCTGGTAAAGACTTCCTGTGTGTGCGTTAGAGCAGCTGCAAACAGCAGAGGCTGGTCAGGATCCATGATTTATCCACATCCATTCAGCACAGCCGCAGACCTTTGACCTCTGTGTCAGCAGGTAGAGGTCAAACAGGTCTGTGTTGTAACTGAGACACAGTGTCAGTGGGATCACCTGTGTAAATGAAATATAAATACAGGACTTAAACTGTGCTGATTAAACACAGGATTCAGGTGTGACTGAGTAATATGCACACATGCAGTTCAGTATTAAAGCCACAGAAACATTTATTTACCCTAAAATGAGTTTACAACACTTTAAACAACGTGTGCAGTTACTGTGACTCAGGTTAACCACTTAAGCCCCAGAAAAACCAAAGAAACCAAAGTTACAGCCCCTCGGAGTTTAAAGGGCCAGAGGCCAATCAAACGCTCTATGCGCGCTGCAGAAAAGGGCCGTTGCCATGTAAATGTGTGGTTAATTCTTCAAAAATATATTTAAAAAAAAACATGTTTAGGCCTGTTAATAAAATTTATTACTTTCTGCTCTTTAATACCTAAAAAAAAAACAACTGGCATGGTGTCCAATTGTGTGCCAAAATTGGACATTTTTGTACAACGTCTGGATATTCATGTATTGACAGCGCTGTAGTTTTTCACTGTTTCACTTTAGAAACATAAATCTTTGCACAGATGATGTTTATATGTTGGTTACTGGATTTCTGGAACCAAATGTGATCTGAGGCATATTTTTCAAAGGGTTATATGCTAAAAATTAAAAAAAATAATTAGGCGAGGATAAAATCTACTTACTTTTTCTGTGTTCCAGTCTCAGTAACTTTGACACAGTAATATCTGCTTCAATATTTACACCTCTGATGAAATTTCACAAGTGTTAGCTTTATTTTGATACCAAGATTGTAAGGACAGAGTTTGTAATTGCAGAGAAATAATCAATTAAATTTGGGCATTACATTTTCGAGCAGGAAGCTCAGAAACCCCCTTGGGGCTTAAGAGGTTAACATCCCTGCCCCTGAAAATGGTACGGTCCTTTGCCAGGATTGTAATGTGGAAAAAAACACTGTTAAACGTGCAAAACTTGACCTCATGAAACAAAAAGTATCAACGTTACCGTCACAGGAATCACAACAAGCAAGAAAATCAGTGTGAGCAGGTGAAACAGTCTTGCCATCAATTTCCCTTCACTCGTCTGAGATATAAAAATCTGTATATAAAAATAATAAAGAGATAATAATTTCCATCATGTCCTCATACGACATACCAGCTCCTCTCGATGTGGAGGAGGAGAGGTGAAAGATTAAGGCAGGCGTAAAACCCCACCCTGTGGTCACGGGGGTTTCCCTCAGGTGTCAGTGAACACAGGGCTATTATAACATCTGCCAGATGTTTGGATCTCAGGGTTTAAAATGAAATCTGTGGACAGCAGGTGAAGGCTGTTGCTCAGACAGATGATGTGATGGAAGATAAAAGCACAACAGATGTTTACAGATGTTTCCATCGCCTGTGTGCTGTTGTCTCTGACACACTTCACTCTAGCTGCTGCTGTGAAGGAAAGCTCGGCTTATGAACGTTTAGAGGACGCAGGAACAGGTTTAATCCACTGCTGCGTGGTGCATTCAGGGCCTCCCTGAACCAGGGCAGGTTGTCTATCTCACTCTACCACTGTCCTCTCTCTCTTTAAAAAGACTTACGTGTGTGTGAGATTAGAGCTAGATACATGAGGTTGATGGGCAGGACGCCATGTTTAACATCTGTACTCAGACTTTTGGTTTTTTGAATCAGACCGACATGAGATCTGCTCTCTGATTGGTGGGATCAGGCCAACAGGATTAATATAAGAGCAGCAGCAGGGACACAGACAGACAGATGAAGGTGGACGGACGCTGCGGGCGACAGGAACCAGACAAACA